GGGACACACGGGGAGACCCCCGAGCGTGGGGAAGGGGGGACACACACACAGGGGGAGGGGGGTTTGGGAGCCTGGACCCCCCAGGGGAGGGGGCTGAGCCCACCCGGGATAGACCCCTGGGTTTGGGGTGAAACTGGGGGGGGATTTGGGAGTCTGGACCCCCCGGGGGAGGGGGCTGAGCCCACCCTGGACCCCTCCCCAGACCCCTGGAGGGGAGCAGCATTTTGGGGTGAAATTGGGGAGGTTTGGGAGCCTGGACCTCCCGGGGAGGGGGCTGAGCCCACCCTGGATAGACCCCCGGGGGGGGAGAGCGGCATTTTGGAGTGAAAGTCTGAGATTTTGGGATCGTGGACACACGGGGGGGGGCTCAGCCATAGACCCCTTGGGGGGGAGTCAGCAGCGTTTTGGGGTGAAATTGTGGGGTTTTGGGAACCTGGATCCTCGGGGGACCCCGGGAGACACCAGGACCCCCTCCCCAAAGCCCACCCAGTACCCCACGGGGGGGGACCCCCTGGCCCCCAAATCCCATCCTGCTGGGAAAATGATTGTCCCAGGGAAAGGGGGGATTTGGAATTTGTCCCAGGGAAAGGGAGGATTGGAATTTTTGGGATTGTGACTTTTGGGGATTCTGTGACCTCAGGAGTCCCTGCTGGGGGATTGTGAGTGACTGGGTGAGGAGCTTCCCTGGAAAATCCCTTTCCGTGGATTTTAGGGATTGTGAGCAGACCTGGCACGTTGTGTGTGGGGGGGATGTGATCCAGTGGGATAAACCCCTTTGGAAACCCCATTTGCTCTTGGAATTGGGGGCTTTAGGAACCCTGAGCCTCCGGGCAAGGAGCTTCCCGGTGCCCCTGGCACAGGGCTGGGATTCCCTGGAATCCTCAGCATCTCTTCCCTCTGGCTTTGTGTCCCCCCCCCAAAAAAAATAAAAAAAAGAGGGGTTTGTTTTCCCTCCCTCTGTCCCTGGAAAAGCTGATTTAGGGAATTGGGGAGGTGTTTGAGGTGCCAGGGGTGCTCCAGGGGGGGTTTGGGGTCAGGAGTCGCTCGGGGGAGAAATTCCTGGGGAAATGATCAAAACTCCCTGGAAAATGGGATCGTTTAGGAAAAAAAAAAAAAGGGATAATTGGAGTGATTTCCCCCCCATCCTCTCCAAGCAGCTCCTGCTCTCCCGTTCCAGCAGTGGCTTTGGGATGTCCAAGGAATTGGGATGTCCCAGGAAAAGGGGGGCAGGAAACCAGGACGGATCCTCTCCTCTGGAACTGGGAGATGGAGAAGGGATATCAGGAATGGGGGCTCGTCCAGGGATTTTGATCCCTGCTCTTTAATTCTCCTTGGAGAAAGAGCTCCCGGGAGAGCTGGAGCAGAGGAGAGCCTGGAAAACTTGGAAGCATCCCAGGCCAGGATGGAGCGAGCTGGGATGGTGGGAATCCTCCCTTTTGGAACGGGGTGATCCTCAAGGTCCCCCATCCCAACCCAACCCCGTGGCTTTTGGATTTAGGGGGAAAAAAAGCTCATGAAAGGGGAAAAAATAAAATCCATGCCTGGGGGCCAAGGTTATCCCGGTATCTGGGGCCGGGAATTCTCAGCCCGGGAGCGCCCTCGGTGCCGGCCAAACCAGCTCTGCCGGTCCCTGTTTCCCAGGGTTGGAGTGGCACCGTTAATCATTACCCTGCCCTGCTCCAGGAGAGCTCTGGGAAGTCGGGAATTCCGGCCCCCCGGGAGCAGCTCCGACCCCTTCCACGGCTTTTTCCCCTGGGTTTTCCCGGAAATCCTCCAGAATCCCATCTTTCCCCACATCCCTCCCCGTGGGGGGGCTGGGGATTGCGCAGGTTTGGAGCGCTCAGGTGGTTGGGAATGTTTGGGAATGGGGCCTCCCCTGTGCCATTATTCCCCTCATCCATTTAATTCCAAGCTTTCCCGGTTGTTGGAGGGTTTGGAATGCCGGCTGTTCCGGTGGATCCCTGGGATTTTGGGATGGGGGAGGAGGATCCCAAACTCCTCCTGAGCTTCAGCTCCGCTTCCCTTCCCTGGGAAAAAAAGAAAAAAAAAGAAACAACCCACAAGGAAGGAGCAGGGATAGGGAAGGAAAAGGCTTTGCTGTGCCAGATGGATCCGGGATGGCTCCATCCCGGAATTCTGGGGAGGAGTTCACCCCCCATTCCCAGGGGGTTCCAACCCCATTCCCAGGGAGTTCCAACCCCATTCCCAGGGAGTTCCAACCCCATTCCCAGGGGGTTCCAACCCCATTCCCAGGGGGTTCCAATCCCATTCCCAGGGGGTTCAAATCCCATTCCCAGGGGGTTCAAATCCCATTCCCAGGAGATTCCAACCCCATTCCCAGGGGTTCCAACCCCATTCCCAGGGGGTTCACCCCCCCATTCCCAGGGGATCCTCCCCCCATTCCCACGGGATCCTCCCCCCATTCCCACGGGATCCTCCCCCCATTCCCACAGGGACAGGGAGCTGAGTGTCCTCCCAGAGGTTGGAGCTGCTCCAAGTGGGAGCGCCGGGAAGGGACGATCCGGGAGGGGGGAAGGGGAGGAAGCTGAATCATTTATTTTATTTTATTTTGTTGTTTTTATTTTGGGGGGGTTTTTGGTTTTTGTTTTGTTTTGTTTTGTTTTTTTTTAAGCTGGAATTCCTTCCTTCCTGTCCCGGGAATGTTGGGAACTGCCTGCAGGGCAGGCTGGCCTTGGGAAGGCAGGGGCTTGGCTTGGGAAATCCTGGACAGCCCCTGGCGTGTTCCCAGCCCACACTGGTGGGAGCAGATTCCTCTCAGGAGGGATCCCATCAAGACACTTTTTCCCTTTCCCAGCTCCTGGATTTTATGTGGTTTTCCACTTTTTTTCCATGTAATTCCCTATTTTTTCTGTATAAATCCCTCTTTTATTCCCACATATATCCCTATTTTTTCCATTTTTATCCCTATTTTTCCCACATGTATATCCCTATTTTTCCCACAGGAGTTTGGTTTCCAAGGGGCAGGATTTGGGATTCCAAGGGGCAGGATTTGAGATTCCAGGGGGCAGGATTTGGGATCGCAGGGGGCAGGATTTGGGATTGCAGGGGGCAGGATTTGGGATTCCAAGGGGCAGGATTTGGGATTGCAGGGGGCAGGATTTGGGATTCCAAGGGGCAGGATTTGGGATTCCAAGGGGCAGGATTTGGGATTCCAAGGGGCAGGATTTGGGATTCCAGGGGGCAGGAGTTGGGATTGCAGGGGGCAGGATTTGGGATCCCAAGGGGCGGGATTTGGGATCGCAGGGGCCGTGTTTTGGCCCCCCCCACCCCCCGTAAGTCAATTAGGAAGGAGCTTATGCAAAGCCGAATTAAGCGACTCTTTTAGCCCCGGCTAAGCCAGGGCTGGCCCAGCAACTTCCACCTGGATCTCTCCCCCCACTCCTTGGAGACTCCTGGAGGGGCTGCAGGTTTGGCAAGAAGCTGGAATTTGGGAATTGCGCCGAGGGAGAGGCTTCAGGAGCATCCCTGAATCCCGGGGAGGGTGGAGATGGGGGGGAGGGATCCCGATCCCGGATCCATCTGCAGGTCTGACCTGCTGGGGCCACCCCATCCTGTCTGCCCGGTAATCCCGTGGGGTTAATCCCGCAGGGATCGTCCCCCCTGGGCCAGGGGGCTGGGCAGGGAAGAGCCAGGGCCATGTCCAGGTTCCTGGAGGGGCTGGAGCGTGGCCAGGGATGGGAATGGGGCTGGAGCAGCGGGAGAAGAGGCTGGAGAAACTCCTGAGGGGGCTCAGGGGGGACCTCCTGGCTCTGGAATTCCCTGACAGGAGCGGGGAACTGGCAGGGATCGGGCTCTGCTCCCAGGGAATGAGGGACAGGAGAGGCTCAGGTTGGGCATCAGCAGGAATTTCCCCATGGAAAGGGAACAGGCCTTGGAATGAGTTCCCCCCCCACCCTCCCCCGTAAATTATCCCCTGGCCGTGGCACTGAGCGCTCCGGGCTGGGGATGGGGGCGCAGGGGTGGGGGCTCCACGGGCTGGGAGGGCTTTTCCAAGGCCAGGGATTCCCTGGATTGACCATCCCTGCCCCCCTCACCCCCTCCAGGTTGAGCAGCCTGTCCTCGCTGGGGGATTCCTCGTCGGAGCGAAGGCCCCCCGGGCACCACCGCCAGCCCTCCGACTGCTCCGAGTCCACAGGTGGGAATTCCCTGCTTGCTGCAGCTCTTCCTGTCCCCACACACCCAAGGTTTTTTATATTTTTTTTGTTGGGAATTGGGCTCCAAAACCCCCGGGGATTCATGGGGTGCATCGGGCAGCCCGTGAGCTCGAGCACAGGGGTGTCCAAGGGACCCTCTCACCCCCAGTTTGGGGCTCCTGGGGGCTTGGGGGACCCTCTCCAGCCCAATTTGGGGGGGTCTCAGGTGTGGGAGGTCCCTTTTCACCCCCGATTTGGGGGTCCCAGGAGTTTTTTTTGGGGGAGGAGGGGGGCCCTGTGTGGCTCCAAGCACAACCCCTGGAAGTGGGAGATGATGAGGAACCCCCAGGGCCCAAACCCAGGGGCCACCTCACTGCCACCTCCTCCTGCTCTCCCTCCCATCCCTCCTCTCCCTCTTTTCCCTCTTTTCCCTCCTTTCCCTCCCTCCCTGTCCCCTCTCCAGGCCTGGTCCAGCGCTGTGTCATCATCCAGAAGGACCAGCATGGCTTCGGCTTCACCGTCAGCGGCGACCGCGTGGTGCTGGTGCAGTCGGTGCGGCCAGGTGGGACAGCCCCAGCCCCTGGCAGGGCTCTGGGGGGGGATCAGCACATCCCTCAGGGATCCCCCCACCCCACCCAGGGGGAGGGAGCACCGGGAGAAGGGGATTTTCCTTCCGGAATGTTGCCGGTTTTGGTGGGGGGGGTTGGGTTGGGGCCGGGTGGGCCTTGAGGTTTCTCCCACCCCAAACCATCCCTGTGCTGGTTTAGGCGGGATGTTGGGAATAAATCCTTCCCTGGGAGGGTGGTGAGACCCTGGCCCATCCCTGGAAGGATCCAAGGCCGGGCTGGATGAGGTTTGGAGTGTCCAGGCCCATGGAATTTGTCCCTGCCCAGGGCAGGGGGTGGAATGAGATTTTTAAGCCCCTTCCAACCCAAACCTTTCCATGATTCCACAGAAGCTCCCCCAGATTTCCCTTTCCTTGTACATCCCAGGGAGCTGCTGGGTGGGGTGGGGTGGGGTGGGAATTCCCTGTTGCAGCCCCTGGAAAACGTGGATTTGGCTCCCGAGCTCCGTGGCTTTGGATTTAAACAATCTGCACTTTAAACAGACAATGAGCTGCTTCTTTTCCAGCGGATGTTCCCGGCTCCTCCCCCTTCCCCTCCCCGGCCAGAAAGCCAGGAAAAACGAGGATATGGGAGAGGGGAAAGGCTTGGGAGCTCCAGCCCCTCCTGCAGCTGGAGTTATCCCTGGAAGTTGGGGACAGGGCTGAGGTTCCCCAGGGCGGGACATCCCCATTCCCTTCATTTTTCCCATTAAACCCCAAAGAATCCCAACAACTGGGAGGACTTTCCGCTCCCTGCATCTCTCAGACCCTTGGCCGAGTGGAAACATTTCCCTCTTGGTTTTTGGCTCTGGAAAAAGCGGATTTTTCCCGGATCCCGACCTGGGTGGCTCCTTTGAGGAGCAGGGACAGGGACGGTTGGGGGGGGGTCCCTGCTCCTGCCTCTGGATCCAGGCGTTTCCAGATGTGCCAGAGCCAACCTGGATGGTGGGACAACAGGTTGGGACCCCCTTCCCATGGATGTAGGGGGGGAATCCATGGAGGTGGCCGGGAAAGGCTGGGATGGGCAGCACAGGGATCGCCTGGAGGAGCTGAAGGGGTGCCGGGAATCACCCAAGGCTCATCCCACGGGAATGCCGTGCCTGGCGCTCCCTGTGCCCCCCCTGGAACGTTGTCAGGAGGGTCTGGCACCACCAGGAGCCCGCCCTGACCCCCTCCCTGTGTCCCAGGTGGGGCTGCCATGAGAGCCGGGGTGCAGGAGGGCGACCGCATCGTCAAGGTGAGCGTTCCCGGCCCCTTCCCCGCCGGAATTCCCGCTCCCCCTTCCCCTTCCCGGCCTCTCCCACCCCCTGCTCTCTCCTCTGCCAGGTGAATGGAACCATGGTGACCAACAGCTCCCACCTGGAAGTGGTGAAGTTGATCAAGTGTGAGTGTTAGGGGCCGATCTTCCCGCCTGGAATGTTTTGGGGTGGGGGGGGGGTGGGGAGTTGGAAAAGATGGGAAAGCCCGGCTTGATCCGGGGTGGCAGAGCCACCGGGCAGGGATGATGTGCCCACCCCAGTGTGCCCATGGGGTGGTTGGGGTTGGGTTGGGTTGAGTTTAGATCGAGTTTGGGTTGATTTGGGTTGAGTTTGGGTCGATTTGGGTTGAGTTTGGGTTGATTTGGGTTGAGTTAAGGTCGAGTTTAGGTTGAGTTGGTTTGAACTGTGTTGAATTTAGGTCGAGTTGGGGTCGAGTTGGGTTGAGTTGGGTTGAACTTATGTTGATTTGGGTTGAGTTTAGGTTGATTTGGGTTGAGTTCAGGTCGAGTTGGGTTGAGTTTAGATCGAGTTCAGGCCGAGCTGAGTTCCACAACTAAATCACGCAGCTCTTTCTCCCTCTCCCCCTCCCAAATTTCCCCAGCCGGTGCCTACGTGGCTCTGACCCTCCTGGGATCCCCCCCTGCCTCGGTGGGGGTCTCCAGCTCCCAGCAGGATGCGGGAACAGCGGGATCCCCCCACGGCCCCCCCGCCTGTCCCCCCCCGGCGCCGCCGCTGCCGCAGCGAATCACCGACCCCAGACCCCTGCAGGTCACCACAGACCCCCCCCCTCACCCCACCCTGCCCTGTGTGTGTGTCCCTGTCCCTCCCAGTGTGGGGGACAGGGCGAGCTGAGGGATTCCCTGTGGGATTGCAGGACCCCGAGGTGCAGAAACACGCCACGCAGATCCTGCGGAACATGCTGCGGCAGGAGGAGGCCGAGCTGCAGGTGTGTGTGTGTGTGGGGGGGGTTGCTCTTTTTCCCCCCTTTTTTTCTCCCTGGAGCCACATTGGATGTCCTGGTGATGTCCTGGTGCTGCTCCAGCCCCGTTATGGAGTTGTGGGATGGATCCAGGGCACCTCCCGCCAGCCCAGGTCGCTCCATCCCCATCCGGAGCACCCCTGGTGGTCTGGGCACCCTCCAACCCCTTGCTGGTGTGGGCAGTGGGATGGGATTTCGGGGGTTTTGGGGTGGGTGTGAAGGTGTGTGTGTGTGTGTGTGTGTTCCCCTCATCCCTCTCTTTCCCCCTCAGCGCTTCCAGGAGCTGTACAACCGGAACCCCGGGGCGGCCGTGGAGGAGCAGATGGAGGGGGCTCGCCGCAGGGTCAGCCAGCTCCAGCTCAAAATCCTGCAGGAGACCGGCAATTCCCTGGTGGGTGGATTCGGGGGGGAGTCACCCCCACGCCCCCCACCCCTTCCCTCTGACTTCCCACCGCTCCCTTCTCCCTGGGAACCCCTTCCCAAGGTGTCGGGGTGTCCCTCCCTTCCCAAATCGCTCCGAGTTCCCTCATCCCTGTCCTTGTTTCCTTGGCACTGCCCCAGCGATCCCAAACTTCTCCCCCTTGCAGGATTCCAGGCTGAGCAGCGACTCCAGCCTGGCGGGGCTCAGGTCTCTGGAAGGTGAGTGGGTGGTGCCGGTGGTGGCTCGGAGCATCCCGGCGTTCCCAGCTCCTGGATCCGTGGATCAATCCCTCCTCTGCTCCCAGGACGCCTCTCCCTGGACTCCCAGGATGGGGACAGCGGGCTGGAATCCGGGACTGAGCGATTCCCCTCTGTGAGTGAGGTGAGAGAAGGGGCTTTTTTCCACCTTCCCGACTTTTCCCTCTCCCCCCTGGGAGCAGGGCTGGATCCCCTCGGGAATCCTGAGGACCTCCCTTTGTAATCCCAGTGGGATTTGTCTCCTGATGGAATTCCTTGGGATGTGGCCTCAGCTCGGAACTCCTCAGGCTCATCACATTGAACCCCCCCAAAACGAGGGATTTTCCCCCTCGAAATTCCCGGCTTGTGCTCCCCATCCCAAAGCTCTCCCGGCATCCCCTGAGTGTTTTTTGTTGTTTTTTTTTGTGTGTGTGTTTTCCACATTCCCTGAGCTTCTGTTTCTGTGGATTCTGGGCTGAAAGCTGCTCCCAACTGCCCCCCTCCGTGTCTCCCATCCCGAGCAGGTCTCCCTGAACCGGAATTCCACCCTCTCCGACCACGGCCTGGAAAGCCCCCGGACCTCCCCCATCATCTCCTCGCGGCTTTTCCAGCACCATCGGCGCCAGGGCTCCGACAGCCCCTTCCCAGCCTCGGCGGAGCAGGTGGGGGGGGAGCTGGGGGATCATCCAGCCTCGGGAACACCCCCAGATTGGGGCTCCTGGCTCCTAATTCCCACCCCTTTCCCCGGGGCAGGAGCGGCCGGGAAGGCCCCTGATCATCGGGCCGGAGGAGGATTGTGATCCAGGGTATTTCAACAACGAGGTAAAGCTGGAAAAAGTGTTCCTGGGGGGTTGTTTTTGTCCCCTCACCCCCTTTATGGACCCTCCTCCCACCCCCCCCAGGCCTGGTGGGATTTAAAATCCCAGGAGATGCCCTGGGTGGGTGCCGAGCAGGTGGGATTTGGGAGCCGGGCTGTGGATCCAGAGGAGTGAATTCCTTCCCTCCCCTTCTCTTCCCAGTGCGACTCCCTCTTCCAGGACCTGGCAAAGCTGAAATCCCGGCCGGCACATCTGGGGGTCTTCCTGCGCTACATCTTCTCCCAGGCCGATCCCAGCCCCCTGGTAAGGGGGAATCCTGGGAATCCCGGGAATCCCCTGAGCCCGGGGCACCTTCCTGCCTATTCCTGAGGCACATTCCGTGGGGTGACACTTCCTCCCAAACCCTCGGGATCACTTCCCGTTCCCTCTCTCCTCCTTCCCCTTTTTTTCCCCCCCCAGCTCTTCTACCTGTGCACGGAGGTTTTCCAGCAGAGCACAGCCAAGGATTCCCGGGCTTTGGGGAAGGAGATCTGGAATATCTTCCTGGACAGGAGCGCAGTAAGAGCAGGATCCCCTCGGGATCACCAGCTCCTCTTCCCTGCGTGGGGGATGTTCCTTAAGATGCCAAAACGGGATGAAGATTTGGGATTCGTTCCCCTCGTGTCCCCGGGGTGATTTTGGGAGTGTTTGGGAAGTTTTTTGCCGCTGGAAAAGCTTTTCTTTTTTTGGGGGGGCTGGTGGTTCCTCCACCCCTGGGAAGCACAGGGAATTCCCACTCCTGGCACAACTCCAGCTGCCTGGAAGCGGGAGAGGAGGGGCCTGGAAGGGAGGATGGATGTCCAGGTGCTCCTCCAAGGGAGCGGATTCCAGTTGGGAATCTTTCATGGGATGCTGGGGGGGGGGGTGAGATCCCCGTGGCGAGATGGGGCAGGGATTCAGGGCTCCAGCACCGTAATCCCAGCCCCTTCCAGCTGGGAAAAAGGGATCCAGAGCTGAGCTGCTCCCCTGTTGTCCCTCCCTGTGCAGCCTCTCCGGGTGAAGGTGTCGGAGCAGCTCCTGGCGGAGATCGGTGAGCGAGGGGCCGTCCCTTGGGAGGAGGGTTTGGGGCTGGGG